TTAAACATTTATTACGAGGTATTTCAAAAAACAAAAATAAGGTTGTATTTGTAAAGTTTCAAATTTATATATTTTTCTTAATTTATATATTTATCTATATATGTGTGTTATTTATATTGTGTTTTATTGTGTATATATATATTTGTTAAGGTTATATGGGTTTATATTTTGTAAGTGTGTAAATATATGAAATGTTTCAATGTTTGTGGTGTGTTATATGTAATATGTTTATAGTTTGTAAGTGATAATTATGTTGTTTGCATGGTTTCAAATTGTTGTGACTGGGCTTAGTTTACAGCAAGATTGTTGACCTCGCTAGCCAAGTGGTGTACTTTGCTATAATGTGACCTGGCTTTGTTGAGAGCAAAAATATTGTCCTCGCCAGCAGAGTGGTGTATTGTCATAATAAAACACATAAATTAATTCTGTTTGTAATTAGTGTATTTCTAAAATGTGTTGAAAAAATATTGTTTAAAAAATGTGTTTTAATGTTGTTATCCTCTGTTCTTAACAATGTATGCTTTTGACAATAAATAAATTTTGTTAAAAAGCAGGCTTTACTAACAGCTCCTCCTCATTAAAATTTTTAAGAGTTTCGATTTTCTTCATTAAATATGTTTAACTCAAATTTTTTTTATATATATAAAAGTAAGTATACAGCGTGTTGAAGCATAAGTTTTAATAACTTTTGTTAAATTTTTAGGATTTTTTGTATAGAGAATGTTTTCTTTATATTATTATTTTAATGTTTTGTATGTACATCAATATATATATATATATATATATATATATATATATATATATATATATATATATATATATATATATATATATATATATATATATATATATATATATATATATATATATATATTGTATATATATATATATATATATATATATATATATATATATATATATATATATATATATATACATATATATATATATATATATATATATATATATATGTCTATATATATATATATATATATATATAGACACACACACACACAATAAAATATATAGAATTAAAATGTCTATACATATATTATATGTATAGACATTTTAATTTTTTTGCCTTAAATTATTGTCCCTTTTTCTTTAGAATATTAAATATCTAAAAAAAAAAAAAAATAGTAAAAGAAGTTTCAATATTTCCAAGTTTCTTCACTTGAAGCAAATATATGATTGTTTATAGAGGTTCTTTTAGTAGTTTTGTATTTATTTATTGCAAATCTTGCGTTAAATGCCTTTCAAAGTAATGAAAGGGTTTTGTTGATGGATGATTACATTTTATCCTTCCATGCTAGCAGTACCTGCTGAGTTGACAGGCCTTAAATTTTTTTAATTTGCTTTATTTATGAGTTCTTATATGTAAAAAATTTGTTTTTTAAATTACATTTGTTTTTTTTGTTTTTTTTGATTAAATACTTATAATATTTTGTCAATAATTGATAACAACTACCATAAATATATAAACAATACTTAGTTGAAAATATTACCTTAATTTATAACTTTAGTTTAAGTTTTTAATAAAACTATGTTATCTTAACACAATGCTATATATGGTAGAATATAATAGATTATAGTATTATGCTCTGTATTATTTGCTTACACTTTATTTTAGATAAGTTTAAAAAAGAAACTTCAACTTTTATTATATTAGGCATCATTTTTACACACTCCTTTGATGCCTAATTATGTCTAATAATTTAAGAAATGAAATTATTAGACTTCGTCAAAATGAAAGAAGGCAGGCTAGGCGAGCTGAGATAAACCGCCGTCGAAATGAAAGAGATGAGCCCAGGCGAGCTGAGATAAATCGTCGTCGAATTGAAAGAGATGAGCCCCGGCGAGCTGAAATAAATTGTAATCAAAATGAAAGAAATCAGGCTAGGCGAGAACTTAATAGGTATAATATGCATCGCATAGCAAGAAATAATATTGCTATAGAGAGTAACTACCTCGGAGAATTAAACCATAATTGTCAGTATTGCAGTGCAAAGAAGTTTTTAAATGAAACTCATTTTTTGTGCTGCCATTCAGGAAAAGTTGCATTAGCTCCTCTTTCTCTTTATCCGCCATTGTTGACTGGTTTAATGACAGGAAACCATGTTGATCATGCTGTAAATCGAAATTTTTTTAAACACATAAGGAGTTATAATTCCTCTTTATCTTTTGCTTCCTTCACTGCCGAAATAGCTCCTCCCTCAAATAATGGCCCTTTCTGTTTTAGGGTCTGTGGGCAAATTTTGCATCGTGTTGGAAATTTAAGGCCTGCAGAAGGTTGTCTGCCCAAATATTGTCAGCTGTATATCTATGATCCTAATGCAGCAGTGTCATTCAGAATGGAACAACCTGGTAATGATGGTTGTATACATGAGTTAATGCAACTCTTGCAAACATTAATTAATCAAGAAAACCCATTTGCTCTTGCATTTAAAAACATGGCAGAAGTAGAGGATGAAGAAATCCGCCAAGCAGCTTTAGAAGGTAGACCAACCTCTGTTGTAAGAATGTCTTTGCTTGAAGGTCATGATAGACGTCGATACAATCTTCCTTCCCATGAGGAAGTTGCTATTGTGTTTGTGGGAGATGATGGTGCTCCACCTGCATCCAGGGAAATTGTTATATACCCTCGAGGTCAGCCTTTAAGAACAATTTCGTCTATGTCTGCAAATTTGGATCCTTTGGTATATCCAATATTCTTTCCCGAGAGGTGATGCTGGATGGCACAATCAACTAGAGCACAACCCTGACCGTGCAACCCGTGTTAGAAACCATGTTACTTTGTCTCAGTATTATAATTATAGGCTTGCTGTTAGACAAACTTTTAGTCCTATATTCTATGGTAAGAAACTTTTTCAGCAATATGTTGTTGATGCATATGTCAAAGTTGAGGGACAGCGCCTTGCTTTTATTAGAAATAACCAAAACAAACTTAGAAGTGAGCAATATGATGCATTGCATGAACATGTAATTAATCGTGCTAATGATCTTAATGTAAGACCAGGCCGTGTTGTTATATTGCCTTCTTCATATGTTGGTAGTCCAAGAGCATTAAAAGAAAACTTTGAAGATGCGATGGCAGTCATAAAGAAATATGGTAAACCAGATCTATTTATTACTTTTACCTGCAATCCAAAATGGAGAGAAATAGTAGAAAATTTAAACCCAGGCCAAACTGCTAATGACAGACCTGATTTAGTTTGTCGGGTATTTAAAATGAAACTTAAATTTTTCTTAGAGGATATTTTTAAGCATGGAGTCTTAGGCAAAGTTGTAAGTCATGTGCAGGTTATTGAGTTTCAAAAGCGTGGTTTGCCACATGTACATATTTTATTGCACTTTGTAAATGCTGATAAGCTAGAAACAGCAGAAGATATTGATAGTTTGATATCAGCAGAAATCCCAGACCCAGCTGTTGATCCTGAACTTTTTGAAATTATAAAATCATGCATAATACATGGACCATGTGAAATTTTAAATCCCAATTCTCCCTGCATGAAAGATGGTAAATGCACAAAAAAATTTCCTAAGGAATTTAATCCCCACACTGTTGCAATTTTTAATGGTTATCCACGCTATAGGCGCGTCGATAATGGAAGAATTGTAAATAAAAAAGGTAATCAAGTTGACAACTGTTGGGTTGTACCTTATAACCCATGGCTTTCTAAAAAATATCAAGCACACATAAATGTTGAAGCCTGCATGACCATAAAGTCAGTTAAGTATTTATATAAGTACATTTACAAAGGGCATGACTGTGCCAATGTGGTGATAAATGAGCAAGTTAACCATGATGAAATAAACACGTTTTTAAATTGTCGCTATGTCTCAGCTCCAGAAGCATTGTGGCGAATATTTGAGTATTCTTTAAGTGATATGTCACATAACATTATTCGACTTCAGTTCATCTGCCAGATAATCAGATGATATATTTTGTAGAAGGCGAAGAACAGGCAGCTTTAGACCGTGCAGCACAGCGTGACACTCACCTAACTGCATGGTTTAAATTAAATGTTGAAAATGAACAAGCCCGACACTATCCATATGTTGAAATTCCTTACCACTTTGTTTTTGATAGCAAACATTGTAAATGGAAAGTTAGGCAAAGAGGTAGCAATAAGGTGATTGTTAGGATGTATAAAGTGAGTCCAATAGGTGAAATATTTTATCTTAGAATGTTACTTTTGCATGTTAGAGGTGCAGTTTCTTTTGAAGATTTGCGTACTGTTAATGGTACAGTTTTTAATACATTCCGAGAAGCATGTTCTCAATTAGGTCTGTTACAAGACGACGCTGAATGGAGAAATACATTAACTGAGGCTGCTGCAACTCGGTTGCCAAATCAAATTAGACAGTTGTTTTCCATTATTTTGACTTTCTGTGAACCTGATGATCCATTAAATCTTTGGAATGCCTTTAAAGATTTTATGATGGAGGATTACATTCACCATTCCATGCCACCAATAATTGCTGAGCAGGCAGCTTTGCGTCAAATTGAATCTATAATTAATCAGAATGGTAAGACTTTAGCTGATGTTAATCTTCCTACTTTAGATGAGTTTTTAGATTATGTCCCACAAAATGAAGAGGAAGATGTTCAGGTTTTAATTGATGAAGCAAATAGGGTTAGACCATTGTTAAATGATAATCAGCGTCAAATTGCTGATGCTATCCTTTCTGCTCTTAGTGAGCAACCTAACAATGAAAACAAGCAGTCTAGATTGTTTTTTATGGATGGCCCTGCAGGTTGTGGTAAAACATTTACATACAATTATTTAATCGCTGAAACCAGCAGTAGACATATTATAACTGCAACAGCTGCTTGGACAGGAATAGCTGCAACTCTTTAAAAAAAAGGATGTACACTTCATGGTTTGTTCAAACTTCCTGTGCCGATTTTGGAAAATAGCACATGCAATGTAACTCCAAATTCTATACACGGAAAATTCTTGAGGCAAGTTAGCCTTTATTTACTAGATGAGGCATCCATGATACCTAAACATGCTTTAAATGCTATTGATAAGTTACTTCAAGACGTTTGCAATAACAAGTTTCCTTTCGGTGGTAAAGTTATTCTTATGGGTGGGGATTTTAGGCAAATACTTCCGGTTGTAAAGAGAGGGCAACCAGCTGATATTGTTGAAGCCTGTATAAAATGTTCTCAACATTGGCAATATGTTCAGCGATTTTCATTAACAGAAATTATGAGGGTTCAGGCCGAAGAAGAGGAATTCTCTCAATGGCTTTTAAAACTTGGTAGTGGAACATTACCTTTAAAAGCAGATGGTTCCTTTCGCGGTTGCATTGAGATTCCTGAGCAATGCTTGCTTGGAGAAAATGAATCTTTAGTAGACAAGATTTTTGGAGTTGCAGAAGAAGATGATTATGCTAAACGTGCCATTTTGACACCCAATAATGTTGATTCTTTAGCAATAAATGAAGAAGTTTTGGACCGTTTACCAGGTGACGTTAAGGTTTATTTAAGTGCTGATACTATTGAAACAGATGATCTTAACGAAATCAATAATTTTCCTGTTGAGTTTTTAAACAGTCTTACTCCATCAGGAATGCCTGTTCATTGCCTAAAGCTAAAAATTGGTGCTGTTATAATGTTACTTCGAAATTTAGATCTAAAAGCTGGACTTTGCAATGGTACCCGATTGATAGTGCGTGCTCTACAAAATAATTACATTGATGGGCAAGTTCTAACAGGTGTTTCAGTTGGCAAGAGGGTATTTGTCCCTCGGGTTCAGTTAACACAATCTGATTCAAATTTACCTTTTACTCTTAAGCAATTTCCTGTAAGATTAGCATACTCAATGACCATAAATAAAAGTCAAGGTCAAACTTTTGACAAAGTTGGTATTTATCTCAAAAACCCTTGCTTTTCACATGGTCAACTCTATGTTGCATGTTCAAGAACAAGATCGTTTAATACCTTATTTTTTAAAATTGATGAGCATTCATTACAAGGTATGTCATTTAACAAATGCTACACAAACAATGTTGTATTTACCAATGTACTAAATCTATAAATAATTAATTTTTTACAATTAAACTCCTCATTTCTTATAAATATTTTAACTGTAATTTAAAGTATTTTTGTGTGTTGCTTGATGCAGTAATGTGTGATATTTATTATGTGTTTAAATATGTGTTAAGGTTATATTTTGTAAGTGTTTATGTGTAACTAATGTGTAAATGACTGTTATATGTGAAGTGTATTTTTTATGTTATCTGTTTATAGTTTGTGAGTTGTTATTATGTTGTTTTCATGGTTTCAAAGTGGTGTGACTTGGCTTTGTTTATGGCAAGAGTGTTGTCCTTGCTAGCCAAGCGGTGTACTTTGAATAATGTGACTTGGCTTTGTTTATGGCAAGAGTGTTGTCCTTGCTAGCCAAGTGATGTACAGACATGAAACACATAATAAAATCTGTTTGTAATCACAAAATGTGTACTTATAAGTATGTTATATTTTGTAAGTATTTATGTGTAATTAATGTGTAAATGGCTGTTACATATGAAGTGTATTTTTTGTTATGTTATCTGTTTATAGTTTGTGAGTTGTTATTATGTTGTTTTCATGGTTTCAAAGTGGTGTGACTTGGCTTTGTTTATGGCAAGAGTGTTGTCCTTGCTAGCCAAGCGGTGTACTTTGAATAATGTGACTTGGCTTTGTTTATGGCAAGAGTGTTGTCCTTGCTAGCCAAGCGGCGTACTGTTTGTAATCACAAAATGTGTACTTGCAAATATGTTATGCTGTTAGTAAATAAAGTATTTACAATAAAGTCTGGATAACTCAATAAATCAACTTAAATAAATCAAACTAATTTTAAAATTCCAGTTGAGCGATTGTTTATGGATCATACTACCACTAACTGAAATATTTTCTAATAAGCTAATTGCTGGATCCTTTGGTGGTTTAAGTTATTGAGTCTTTACTGTAAGATTTTGTGCTATTTGTTATTGATGTTTGTGATGTTACTGTTGTGATGTTTTGTGTTGATAGATGACTTGGCTTACCTTCACGTCGGTGTCTATCGTTAAAAATGATTATAGGGTTGTTTCATACTGAAACTGACTATATATAATCATTCACTAAAAGCCAAGCATTCAATTTTTATATTAAACTGTAAGGGTTTATCTTTTTTTGATTATTTTTAGTGTGCTTTTTTTGAAAAGAGTTTATAATCGAAACTTGCAACAATTTTGTTTTATTTTAGTTCGAATGCCTTCTCTTAATGTTGATCGTTTTTTAACATCCAAAGGGAAGTTTTGTTAATCTTTATACCATTTACTAAAAGATATATTATAGGGAAACAAATCAAATTGATTTTATAAAGTACTTCTGATACTTTTTATGTTATATATAATAGATATTGTAAAATTTAAAAAAAAAAAATTATTTTTTTAATTTTATCTCAAGAAAAATTTTTTTGTTTCTCACACAAATTTGTAAATTTTTTCTCTTTGGAATTATAGTATTTGATGGATACATTGCTCATTTTGCTTTTTTTATATATATCTCCGTTATATATGAATGGAAACCGTTAATACTTTTATTACCATGGTAATTACAGATCTAGATAGTTCCATTCCCATTAAGTATTTTACAAATTTTCGGTACAAATAATAGCTATAGTAGTTTAATAATTTGCTAATTTATAAACATTTAGAAAAATTTGTTGCGAGTTTATTGTAGAAAATTTGCTTTTCAAACAAATAGAGCTAATTTTTGACATAATTAGGATTCGTCACCTGATTCTTTGTCAAATACTTCTCCTTTTTAAATAGGAAAGGTTAAATTTTATAAAAAAGTTTGCCAAAACACTGGGAGAAATGTCACGTAATTGGTAACTATGTTAAATACACTTTTGTTAGGTCCACGTAATTTTCGAATCTGCTCATCACTACGTTAGATGGCGTTATTTCTTTAAAATACCTTAAAAATCTTCAATTCAAAGTTTTTGTTTCGAATCATCAAAATATTGGCATATGATATAAATATACGATTCTAATAAACCAAAAGTATGTGGAAAAATTGCGCATACTTAGGCATCATAAAAACTTAATTCACACCAACCATTTACTTCGATATTTTTTAGTGTATGGCAGAAAAATAAATTACGAATTGTCTTAGATAAATAAAGTTACCGGACCTTTATTACTTAATCCATAAACAATTATTGTTTCATTCGATTTAACACCACAATAAAAAACAAAGCTTTTTCTATTTATTTTCGAAAAACGTTTTACAGGAAACCGAGTTCTTTTGTAGCATTTTAGTTAGAGTTATAGAAAAATCTATAACTCTTATTTTGTTAAGTAAAAAAAAAATCTTATGCTCTTCTAATTTTAGTCACCAATAACAACTATGTTAGGAATAGTAGAAAATGTTATGTGTGGTAGAGAAACTGTTTTTGTGTGGTGTTGTAGGAGTACTGCGGGTCTAAGAAACTTTGTTTTCATCGATAAATTATTCTATTGGTCTATTAAAACAGTATGAAAACTTTCCAGTATTTATATTTGATGTCTTTTTTTCATTTTATTTTATAATTGTAATTTAAGTTTCAAAAAGCAGCAAAAACAACTTGAAAAGAACTATCGCACAATGACTCGCTTAAACACAGGATTCCAATTTCCTGATATACATGGAAATGCTGATATTGCTTTCACTATATTGTCTCTTTGTAATGTGTAACATCATTTTTACTTAGGTTTGCCAAATGACCGGCTTTTACAGAGTAGAATATAGTCCCAAACATATACAGTTCAGTTCTTTTACTGCTTTCTTCTTCATAAAAGCCGGACGTCTTGCAACCCTTGAATTTCCCCTTCTTTTTGTTTGCATAAATTACATAATTCTCTTAATTATAAATACTCCAAATCCGATTTTCGAACAGCGTATTTTAAAATCTAAAGAAATATAAGCGATTAAAGATTACATTTTGCAAGCCAACTGGATGCTTAAACAACTCAAAAGACAGCCACGCGCTCATTTTAGCTCTCTTATAGTTTTAGAATCTGAGTGAGTTACTGTTTTGAATATCTAAAATCTTCAAATTAAGTTTTTATGATTTTAAGTTAAATTAGACTTAAGAATATGTGTAAGAATTGAGAATAAATATTTACTTTTTATTTTAGAAATGAACACACAAGAAAATTTAAACGGTATGTATTTATTGCATATGTGTGTTAGTGCTATATGCGCTTATATTAGATATTATATCTATATATCTATATATATCTAATATATGCGTATACAGCACAAACGCTATACTTTATTTAGTACGCATATATAAATATATAAATATAAATAGACAAACAATTTACACTCTTATAAACAGTGTTGGGTTAACTGATAGACAAAATAAGCACTGCTATCATATTATATTTATTGGAAATAAATAAAAATATCAAGTAATTCTCTTTTTAGACGATGATGGTGACTTTTTTAGAAGTAAGTAAACTATAATTTCTTTAGAAGTAAACAATTTTTATTTATATAAAGTGATAGTTATAAAAAATTTATTTCAAGTATGGAGAAATCAGTAGCATATTTTTTATCAAATATTTGTATACTAATAGTAATTTGATTGTTGGTAATAGTTATATAGTTATATACACGCAGCTATTTAATAGTGAAATTTCATTATTATATGTAAAATTCAAATCTTGAAATAAGAAAAAAATCTTTATGTGTTTTTGAACTAGAAACTTGGAATTTATTTTCTAGACCAGATGTTGTGATTATTATATTTTCTAGACTAGATGTAGTGCTTTATCATATGATATGCTAAATGTATATATTGTATTGTGTGTATATCTTAGATGCGCAGGAGATAGTGGCAGAAGAGACAGAGTCTTTTCTGCCTTATTTGAAAGAATTCTTAGATAATCAAAGTTAGCATTTTCTATTTTTTCTTTTTTACTTCAGTTTTTTCGAAGTTTATGTTACAGTAAATAAATTTATGAACTAATCTTTCATTCATTTTGTTTATTTAGAAAATTTAGAAAGTAGAGTTAGTAAGCAAAATTTCATTATATTACTTTTATGTATATTAAATAAAAAATAATGAGGTTGGCTTTAGTAATTTGTTCATCTATTTAGAAAAATTAGAAGATTTACAAAAGTCCATAGGTGAGTAAAATTGCTTTTATGTTTATTATACACCCTAATTATTTATGTACATCTAATATTAAATGCGTTTTTTCAATTTGAGATTAGTTTTGGACTTTGTACTTTTTGGTCAATTTTTTTAGATATCATTTTAAACTACATTTGTAAGTAACTATATTATGTTTTATGTCTCATAAAAGTTTTAATAAATAATATAATGTAATCACTTATATAGTGACAAATCCAACTTCCTCAGTAACGTATGTTGTTGTACTCACTTATACTTGACTTAATTTATGGATTAATTGGTTTTATTGCATTTTTAATTTTCTTTTATTTATCTCTAGCTGCTGCTTCTTCTGTTACAAGTAAGTTGTTCTATTCACTTATACTTGACTTAATTTGTGGATTAATTGGTTTTATTGCATTTTTAATTTTCTTTTATTTATCTCTAGCTGCTGCTTCTTCTGTTACAAGTAAGTTGTTCTATTCACTTATACTTGACTTAATTTATGGATTAATTGGTTTTATTGCATTTTTAATTTTCTTTTATTTATCTCTAGCTGCTGCTTCTTCTGTTACAAGTAAGTTGTTCTATTCACTTATACTTTACTTAAATTGGATTAATTGGTTTTATTGCATTTTTAACTTTCTTTTGTTTATCTCTAGCTGCTTCTTCTGTTATAAGTAAGTCACTTTTACTTAACTTATTACATTGATTGATTGTTTTTATTGCATTTTTAATTTTCTTTTATTTATCTCTAGCTGCTGCTTCTTCTGTTACAAGTAAGTTGTTCTATTCACTTATACTTGACTTAATTTATGGATTAATTGGTTTTATTGCATTTTTAATTTTCTTTTATTTATCTCTAGCTGCTGCTTCTTCTGTTACAAGTAAGTTGTTATATTCACCTTTACTTGACTTATTACATTGATTGATTGCTTTTATTGTACCTTTTGTTTTTTAATATAGCTACAAATGTGCTTTCCAGTTTAATTAGTTAATTTATATTTATTTTTGTGTTGTTTTTTATTTTTCCCATGAATGTTAAATGTTATCAAAGTAAATCATTTAAATAAAGACACCTTTATCAACAATGCTCATTAACTAGAAATAAAAGTCACGGTCTTACATTTAATAAAGTTAATGTTAATCTCAAAGGGATTTGGTTTTCACACAATCAAATTCTATCTAGCACCTTCCAGAACTAAGAATATAAGTGTGTGGTGTCAGTAGTTTAAAATATGTATAATAAACTCAGAATAACTCAATAACCCTCAACAAAACTATGAACTAATTTTTAAATTCAAGTTGAGCTTTTTTATTTATTAATACCTCCCCTCCTAATAACTCTAATTTTCCTTAAAAAACTAATTTTTTTGTCCTTTGGAGTTGGTTCTGCTATTTAATTAATTGTTGTGATGTTTTATGCAAATAGATTTAGCTCACATTCATGTTGGTCTGTCAGGGTTATGTAAAAATAAAAAAGTAAGTTTCTTATTCGCATTTTTGAGTTTTCAAAAGTATTGATTGCATGACATGTTAATTTGTAATTAATCCCAGTAAGCACAAAGACGTTTAAAAGACGTTTTAAAGATGTCTTTAAGGAGGTCTAAAAGGCGCACTTGTAGACGTCTAGATCATAAGGCTAAAAGACGTCTAAATGAAGACGTCTTTATAAAAACGCGTTTTAGACGTATTTTAGACGTTTTTTTAAAGATAAATTTAAGTACATGACGTAACATTTTCGCGTAGTATGTGGTATATATTCATTGTATTTATAAAATCATGTATTGTTATAATTTCGTATATACAAAATATACATAGGAAGCAACAATCAAAATAATATTGCTGTAATCACCACAAACGGTTGATGCATCAAGGATGAAAATAATAAATAACAATAACAAATATATATCAACACAGGTATTTAGAACATTTATAACTTACCATTAGTTATAATAAAATTTGACATTCGTTAAGTTAGCTAATTTTTGACTGCATACTTGAATTATTATATGGCTTGTGGGTGTATAAAAACTAAAAATATTGATATTTAACTTATATATTATTCTTGCCATTTTCACTTATTATCACGATCAGTCAACTATCTATTATTTAATTATCTACTATCAAAATTAAATATTTAATTAACAACTATCAAAATAATTAATTATAAAAAAAAGATATATTAATACTATAGCAATTATTTTAGTGATTCCTGTGACAACAATTTTAGCAATTGTGTAAAAAAGTAATTTAATTTAAAGTAATTTACACTTAAAACTTAAACAAATTATTGAAAATAATAAAAACTATGTTTTTACTTTGAATATACGACATCTACTTAACGCGTAATGACAAAGCCGTCGAAAATAAGTCATAATGACATATTTATAAACAGGTCTCAGAAAAGACGTCTTTTAGCCTTGATCTAGACGTCTTTTAATGCGTCTTTTAGACTATTTATTATGCGTCTTTTTTAAACGTCTTTTTAAACTTTAAAAAAACGCCTTTTAAAAGTCATTTTAAAAACGCATTCATTAAAGACGTCTAAAAGATGTCTTCAAAACGTCTATAAAAGTGCGTCTTTACCTAGACTAGTTTTAGACGTCTATAAGTGTCTAAAATGCGTCTTGTGCTTACTGGGATGTGTATGATTATGATTATGCGTTTAAATAACTTTGTTCCATTTTTAGTTCCGTTTCTTATAGCTGACTTGATTATGGCTTACCTAAAGCTTAATATTTATGAAACAATGATTCAATTTAAATTGTATTATAAGTAGCTCTGTTGAATAAATTTTTTTTTTGTAATTTGTACTAAAGGTTATATTTTTATTTTATATCAAGAAAAATATGTTTTTAAGTAAATATCTATATTTTTTTATTTTGGGATTTATTGGTTTAAATGGATACAAAAATCATTTTTGCTTTGTCTTTCATATTTCCTTTTATTATATATGAATAGGAACCATTTATGCTTTAATCACCATTAGCACTCGAAGTTTCCATTTGCATTAAGTATCGATTTTTGGCACACACACAACAGGTTTAATAACTTAGGCAGTAAAAACAGCTTGAATGATTTGTTAAGAGTCTTTAAAGAAACGCTTTTACGAAAAGCATTAAATAGATATAGCTAACTTATTTAAAATAATAAGTCTTTAACCCGTTTTTCTATATCCAAATTTACTTTTTAAATAAATGTTGATGAAAGGGTAAAATATCGTTATAGCCTACGTTAATTTTAAATTCTTTTTAAATTAAAGGAAAGAGTTTTGATACTTATTTAAATAGGGTTAATAAAATATTTTAAATTATATTATATATATTATATTTAAGAAATTATTAAACTAAATTAAATAAGATTTTTAGATGAAACAGTAAAAATAATTGTTTAAAATACGTGCGTGCAAATAATTCCTACAAATACTAAACGTAAAATAACGCTTACAAACACCAAAAGTATGTTTGCAGTGAATAAAGTTAAGTTCAAAGATAAATAGGAAGAAATGTTTAAAACTGTTTCAATGATAACATTTATTTTTAATTACTTTTGTTGTAAGTTGGGATGAAAAAAAAAAGTCACTGGAGTATGAACTCCCGGGGTAAGATGACTATAAATGTCTAAGTGTTGCGCGTCTACCAATTAGCCCATAAACGTATTTTCTATTTAAATTTAAGATTATTTATGACGCATAAGAAGTGTAATTAAAAATTCAAAACCAAGTTTGCAACAACTGATTTTAAATAAAATCTAATTAGATGTGTATATGTTATGAACGTTAACTAAGGCGTACTTTAACGGCGTCACGTGTTGAATGTTTTAGCATTTTTCTAAGTTCGTAGTCTTTTTTACGTTTTTTCTTATTAAAATTTTTATAATCGGCATAATATTAAAATCGTTTGAAGTTTTTAAAAGAACATTTTAACAGAAATGTTTTTGTCATATCAAAAAGTAAGTATAGTTTTTTATATGTACATTTTTAAACGGTTTTAAAAAAATATTGAGGTAAGGAATAAGTATAGAAAAGGTCGGTGTAGAATAGATTTACTAAGACCCTTAGTTTACGTCCGGATAGCTATAGATAAGTATAAAAATGGTCGGTTCGGTAAAGACCCGTATTTTACGGGTCACCCCAGCTAGTATAGAATTTATTTTCTCTTAAAAATAGAGTAATAGTCTTGTTTGAAAAGATTAAAACAACATTCTTGAGAAAAGGATTTAGTCGCATTGTTTGCTCTATAAAACATTTATATTATTTAAAAAAAAATATTCCGTTAATTTTTTTTTAATGAGACATTTCAAGAATAAGATTTGTATGTCTTATCGAGATTAATTCTCAGGTGTTGGCAAAAAGTCATAATAACCCGAGTTAAAATAATAAAATAAGAAATTTAGTACGCTTTATAAAATAAAAACAATTTAAAAAGAGAAAAGTTAAAATATAGCGTTAAAATAATAAAAAATATATAAACTGTTAAAGAAGCAAAGTACTTTTTTAATATGAGGCGCCTTAGAGGAAAAGGTACCAAGTCTTAAAAATAAAGTTACTGATACATTTGCATAGAGTTAGGAATACGCCACAAAATAAAACAAAAATAAACTTGATAGCATCATTATTATAAATTCTGCAAAGTTCTTCGAGAAAGTGTTTTAAAAATGAAATTACAGTAAAAAATGACTTTAAAAGTGTGACATACTTTAAAACTGTGTAACTTTCACGTAGTAATAAAGTAATGTATATTTTGATTATTTATTTCAAAAACTAATAATAAATAAGAATAAAACTGCTCGAAATAAGAAAAAGTTAGAATCAAATTTTTCAACATATTTTTCTTAAAACGCGTGTATCTCCGAATCTAGAAACTAAGACTTGGTACGTTTACCTGTGAGGAGCCTCATATTAAGACTTAAATGTATTTTTGACAGATTAAATGTATTCTTATAAAATTGACTATAAATTTAAATACTTTTCATTTATGATTGAAAAGTTATATACTTATTATTAAAGTAAATTTCGAGCAAAAATATCAAAAATTTATTATTAATGTTAAATTATTTTAAATATATTTAAAACAATTTAACATTAATAATAAATTATTCAGATCAGCTAGAATTGCGACTTAAAAATTTTTATTTGTATATTTTTTAAAATAAGATACTTGTTTATAAAAACATTACTGAGTAGCTTTAAAGCTTTTGAGTAAATAGCTAATACTCAATAGCTTTTAGCTTCTTAAAAGCTTAACGCTTAGACATCTTTAGTATATAATTCGCATTCGCAATCGAATGGAATTTTATTTGAAATTTCATAAAGAAGACTTTTTTCGTTAAAATTAATTGA